AGAAAGAAAGAAAGAAAGAAAGAAAGAAAGAAAGAAAGAAAGAAAGATGTATAGGTAGACAGAGAGAGAGAACGAGAGAGACAGTGACAGACAGACAGATATAGATAATGAATAGATAGACTGACAATTTGGATGGATAGGTAAATTAGCAGACTCCACTGGCACTTTGCAAATGGTTATATTCTAATTTTTAAAAAATATATATTTTATTTGTGGAGTATCACAAACCAACGGTGACAAATAACGGATCAATGTGTTGCTGGGTTTTTTTTTTTAAACAAAATCCTTATTTCTTACTGAACAAACCACCCCATCAAGGAGGATGGGCTTCCGGTTGGGAATTCCTAAGGTCCTTTAAAAAAGCAAAAAAAGGCCCCGTAAAATAGCAGAACTTTCTCTAAGTTGCTCTCTCTCTCTCTCTCTCTCTCTCTCCTCCTGATCTAACACCTAGGTTTAACACCTAGGTTTCATCTGACTTCAGAGGAGCCTCTTCTCGCCTGGCACCCACGGCTTGGCAGAAGCGTTGTGAGGGATTTTGTGAATGGGGCAAATTCTCAGCCCGTCTGGAACAAAAAAAAACCTATCGCCGTTTGTCCCCCCCTGCAAAATCCATTGAAGAATAAATTCAGCTGTCTAAAAAAAAAAATAACCAGGGAGTCAAATAACAGAATAACAAATTGGCGAGGGACCCTTGGAGGTCTTCTAGTCTAACACACACGCACACACCCGCTCAGGCAGGAAAAAAATATACCACTTCAGACAAACCGTTATCCAATCTCTTCGTAAAAAAACCTCCGGTAACGGAGCACCCACAAACTGAATCGATTGTTCTCCCTATCAGGAAATTCCTTCTTAGTTCCACGTATGTTGCTTCTCTCCTTGACTGGTTTCCATCCAATATTTCTTGTCCGGCTTTGAGGTGCTTTGGAGCGTAGCTTGACTCCCTCTTCTTTGGGGCAGCCCCTCCGATATTAGACGGCTGCTATCACGTCACCTCTGTTTACTACACCATTCTGGGTAAATTGGTTTGTCTGATCCCGTCTCCCTAATGGACAATTCACAGAAATTGTGGGTGCTGCATCACTGGAGGCTTTTAAGAATAAATTGGACACCCCTTTCAAGTGGAATGATATAGGGTCTTCGGCTTGAGCGTAAGGTTGGACTATGTTATGATGCGCCGGCAGCAGGCGGGGACGGCTGAGGTCTCGGAGAGCGAGGACTCAGATGAGGGGCTTGCGTGGGATGCAGGGATGGGGGCCAGGACCCTCAGGGAGTGGAGTGCGGCCTTCGGAGATGGTGGAGGCTGGCAGCAATGAGGAAGAGGCCCCCGAGGAGCCTGTGCTCAGGGCGCATGCACGCACAGGGCTGCTTGAAGGAAAGAGCAGCAGCGACTCAGGAGTAAGGCTGCAAGGTAATGTCCCCTCCCTTAAGAGATAAAAGCCAGCTGAGAAACCGGAGTTCTTTGCAGGAAGCAAAGAAGCTTTTGCACTCAAGTCTGGTGGACCTTTGGGCTCTCTTAGTTTGTGTTCGGAGACTCTTTGTGTTTGGAAAATTGATTTTATTTATTTTTATTTATTTGATTTGTCAATCGCTTACAAGATAATAGGTATAAGTATAAACATGAGTAAGAATACGGGAAATAGGAATAATTGGGGTCAAGAGGACAGGGACGGTAGGCACGATGGTGCACTTATGCACGCCCCCTTACAGACCTCTTGGGAATGGGGTAAGGTCAATAGTGGTTAGTTTGAGGTTAAAGGAGTGGGGGTTACAGACCTCTTAGGAATGGTTATTCTCTCCCTTCCTTTCTCTCCTCCCTCCATTCTTTTCTCTCCTTCCTTCCTTCCCTGTATTCCTTCCTTCCTTCCTTCCTTCCTTCCTTCCTTCCTTC